AACGACCCACAAAAAAATGAGACAGTAGGAGGTAAAACAAAAAAAAAAGATAACTAAGAAGCTATAAAAGGTCAAACATCTTGACTGACCTACTGAGAGAGCATATCTTCTTGCGCATGAATTAGCATCTTATTTAATTAGGAACGACAATATCGAAAGCAATGGTAACTATTGTCAACAGTTGAGACTATCGTATATATTCTAATGGGCATAAAATGAGGCTACTTGCTTTTTCTGAATGTTGATGATGCTAATCACTACATGCACAAACAGAAAAGATTTGCGTGTTCATTGCGCAAGACCAATACTCCCGTCATCATTATTCTTTCTCACGAACATGTCCATACATGAATATGCACAATGGGAATAGTGACCGACGCTTCTCACTTTCTGTCTCATGTCAATCTCGATTTGCACATACAATCGTTCAATAAAAATGAATGTATATATATTCACCGTCTAGAATATTACATTCAGGTCAACGTCACTTGATACTTTGTCATCACTTATATGTTGAACAACACGACAAAAACGAATAAAGAAAAAAAAAGAAGAGAAAAAAACGAGAAGTCAACACATAAAAATTAATGAGCCACTTGACGTTTCTTCATTTTCTCTTGTCGAAATATTGCATGAAGATGTGATCAATTCAAACAGCATCTTATTTGAATTTATAATAAATGATTCATACACACATACATATATACTCAAGAGAGATATAGAATAGATATATTCTAATCATCGAAAATCTGACTGACATTCAAATGAGAAAGTTACTTTCGCACATAATAACGTTTAAATAAGAGACAAAGAATTGAAACCATAGACTTCTTTTTTGTTTTTTTGTTCTCATTGAAATATGTGATTCTTTGTCAATTATATAATATAATCACTTTCTTTCATGAATAAACGATAAAAAAGAAAAAAAAAACCTTAATTTTGTTTGATCTATTGTTTCATTGTATACATTTATATAATTTGCCATTAGAGTATTCTTTTTCTTCTGTAGAAATTTGACTCTTTTGTTCAATCTTGATTAAGATTACATCTCTTCAAACTGAAATATATATATATATATATATTCATAGGCATGAAGAAGAAAAAAATAACCCTGATAAGATGCTTAAGAGAGATAGCTCAAAAGAAAAATAACAGCTTCGTCATTTAGAAGCGTTGCCTGTTTATTGTTTTTACAACATTAGCTTAAAGCTAATATATGTATCGTCAGGCGGCAACATCTTTCTTTCGTGTATTGGACTCCATGTCAATCAATCTCTTTCCATCTGTCATCTCTTCCACTTCATGTAAAATATACTCTGAATATATATAAGCACATTATGCGGTAATCAACTTTAATAATATCGAGCATGGTTCATGCTCATAATAACAAAAAACACAAAAAAAAAAGAAAAATATCAAATAATCACAATGATGAAATGACCGTGTTGTTGTTGTTATTTGTAGTAGTAGTAGATACTAGATCAGTTTCTGCTAATGTTGTTGTTGATGATGATGAAGCTGCTAATATAATTTCAATAACACCTTTAGTTTTCATTAATTCTAATTGAAATTGTAATTCATCATGAATAGTTCGTTTTAATTTATCCATAGCTTTATTATTCTTATCCGAATGTGATGCAGTTGAAAAATCATATAAATATGATATTAAATGTGCAACTTCAATTAATACAGGCATATATGTTGTATGAGCAATATGTTTTTGTAAAAATCGAACAATTTTTAATAATGATAAATCATCTCGACCTGCTAATGCTTGTTTAAGCATTTGTCGACGTGATAATTCTTTAAATAGAGCTAAAACAATGTCTGGTTGTCGACGTTTAAGTGCTGTTGTAAATGCTGCATCTAAAGCAGCTGATGCACGAAATTTTCGTAAATAGTTATCATATGGTGCTAAACGAGGACGTCGATTAGCAGAGGCAATTGAGTCTGTTGTTGTTGGTGTAATAATACCTAGAAGAAAAGAAGAAGATTGTATTGAGAAAAATAATTATCAATAAATTTCTTTACCGGATGGAAAAAATCGTCGTCTTGATTTTGTTTTTCTTGAACCAGATGAAGCTGTAGATTTTGTATCATTTGTTGATTCATCATCAATTGGTACAAGTGAATTATTATTTGATGATATCATATCATTATTTGCTTCATTCTTAATAGATTCATAACCACTGTTCATTGGAATTGATGACGATGATGAACTTGATATTTGTTGTTTACCATCTCGTCGTTTTACTGACCATAAACCACCGGGCATACCAACACATAATGCTCGATCATTAGGACCCACCATTGCTAACGATAGAACAGCATCAGGATATGTTATTGTTTGAACAACACGAAATGTTGATGCATCATAGATTTTAACATGACGATCAAGACCACCTGATAATATATAATTTTGTTCACTAGTAAAACCAGTACATAGAATTGATTTATGATGATTTGATAATGATGCTAAAAGACGACCACCACCTAATAAATCCCAAACTTTTAAATAAAGACCACCAGCTGTTATAGCAAGTGTTTCATTAGCATACATTAATACCTAATAAGAAATAAAGTAAAGAAATTAGTAAAAATTAATTCTAAGAAGAGTTATGATTTATAAGCAATCGTAATTATTATCTTATACTAATTTATTAAATGTCTAACTTCGAGATATTTTAAGGATATATATAATATTGTTTTTAGTACTATTTAAAATTCTTACTGATTCAATTTGATCACCATGATCAAAATTCATTAGAACATTATCATTATTAGACATTCGTCGATCAATTAATTTCATTGTTCGATCATAACTTCCACTTAATAATAAATGAGGATTTGTTGCTGAGCCTGGTGTTAATGCTCGTACATAATCTGTATGAACATGATCAAATTTTGTTAATTGTTTTTCTGTTGCCAAATCAAATACACGTACAGTTCGATCATCACTACCAGTAAATATATATGTTTTATCACGTGAAAATTGGGTACAATGAACAGGTGATCCTTGATGTTCTTTAAAATGACGTAATTGAGTACGTGTTTCAAAATCAAAAACGCGTACAATGCCATCTTTAGATCCAGCACAAACCAAACGACCATCTATAGAAATAAGAGATTCAAAAAGTATAAGATGTAAAGGGATGAAAACTTTTTTTATATGAAACCTGAACGAAATGATCCACAATATGCAGTATCTTTAAATGAATAGAATGAACGAACAAGTGATAATGTATCAGGTGAATAGATTTGAACACGTGTTGAATCTGTAATTGATATCCATTGTTGACGTGTAGGAGATATATCAATAGTTGTAACTGGACCATATTCACGAAGTGTTGTTGGATGTGATGTTGATAATGGTCCCCAATAAATATCATCATCAGTTAACGCTTGTCCATCATCAATCGGACGTTCAATTTGTAATTGTTTAAAATCAGTCATGTTGAAAATATGAACGAAAATCCAAAATTAAACTAAACAATCACAAAAAGAAAACGAAGGAATAACAATACTACTACTACTTCGAAATTCAAATACGATTGGATAAGATCATAGACCGATAAAATAGTTAACTACAGTGACATCTAAGTATAGTTTCTTTTGAGAGAAGTAGTAAAAATTTTGTACCATTTTTAAATATTGATGTAATACAATATATTTATTCAAACAATAATAGTTTTTAGACCTTCAAACCATGGACTATTTCGATTTCTGAATAGATTATTAGAAAAAAATTAGCTGTAATATTTAATTTGTAATTTTCAAATTTAAATCTGATTTTAAGATTCAGATTTTTAGCTAATTAACGAATTTCACGAGATAATATATATTAGAGTAAAATGACTGTTTTTTGACTTTCTTGTAACATTTGATCGTTTATTAGGTCGAGAAAACCTACAAAATCAAGTGACACAAAAAGAGAGATAACTAACGTAGACAGAATATTATAAAACTAATCCTATTAAGCTACGTCTAAACTTACTAGAAGACAAAAGATGTGAACTGAAAAGCTTTTAATCAGTTCATTAACGTTTCTTATCAGTGAAGTTTGTAATTCATACAAGTAGAATATACACTAGTAAAATTATTTATGATCTTAGCTGACGCTATAGTAAATAAAATTAACAATAAAGTGTCAAGTTCAATTGAGAAGATACTTCATATTTAATATATATTGGTATTTAGCTTTATGTACTATAGAACTAAAGAAGAAAGAAAGTCAATCATTTTTATGATAGATCTGAAATAATGCGAAATAAAATATGATGAGTTATTGTACTCCTAAGAAAACTGACAATAGTGACATCTTATTCAATTGATATAATTCGTCTAAATTAGGAAGAGTAAAAATATATACAAGTAAAAATGTTGTGGATGTTAAATTACATCGCAAAAAATAGAACTAAAATCAATTTTTCTATCGATTTATATATATCTTTACTTATTTGAATAATCAAACCATGCGATAATAAACTAAGATTTTGTCTAGGAATTATTTTTAATTTGACAGATTTATTTGTTTTAATAAAAAACAATAAGCAATTTACAATTTTATCAATGTTAAAACTTTTTTTCTGAAAATAATTTATCTAATTAGAAAAAATATCAAAATAGATTTTTTCAAAAGCTTCTTTTTTTATTCTTCCTTGATACATACATTGAGTCATTTTTCATATTTTTTGCAAAAAAAAGAACAGATGTCGATAGATTTTTATCTATTGTTCTCATTCATTTCGACCTTTTGGTTTATTATTATGTATTGTAATCAAAATTTCCCATTAAGTATTCTTTTATCGTGATTAACATTGATGTTGGTTTTCTTCCTCTACAAAAATATATTACCGATCAGTAAAATAAAGGCTTTTGTTCTGTTCTTCTCGTCTTTTTTCTTTTATTTGTTTTTATCGAGTACATAAATATATATTCAATCATTTCTTGCTGATATCTCGATAATCTTTAATATTAAAAAGAAAACAAACTAACTTTAGATGGCACACCAAGATGAATCCGGTGGTGTCAGTGCTCTTGTTCGTCATACAGCTGGAATGGCTGAATTAGCCATTCATGCGGGTCATCCAGATCGAAAACATAACGAATATTTACCATATCCTGATAATAATTTTGAAGAAAATATTGATGAACGTTTTCAACGAGGTTTGCTTTAATATAAATTTGTTTAATATATTTTTAAGTATTTTTATCTAGATGATAAATTTACTGTTTCACATTTATATGAGCATAGTGGACGAACATTCGTTCCAAATGTTCCTATTTTTGTGAAATCTATTACAGCTGAACGTACATATGCAGCATTTACTGAGTTTCTTAATCCATATTTGTAAGTTTGAATCAACTTTTATTTGAAATTAAGAAAATAATGAATTTTATTATTTATAGATATTGTGTAACAACACAACATGGTCCTTTTCAATGGATGATTTATAAACGTTATCGAAATTTTCATGAATTACACAAGTCATTAGTTCAATTTGTTGAAGCTGAAACAAAAAGATATATAACCGATTCTGATAGGTATGTATTAAATCGAATAAACTAACAACAAATATTTATTTTCTATTAATTTACTAATAAAAAAAAGATTGAAAGATAATGTACGTTTATCTAACACTCGTCACTGGGGAGTGTCACGAAATGAACCTATAAAATTCATTTCACGACGATCGTAAGTTTCTCTATATATAGTTGTTTGTTTGTATTCGTAAAATTCTTGTAGTAATAGTAAATAAATAATTATTTCCGATTTATTATAGAGCTCCGGAAGAAGAAAATGAAAATCCATGTTTTCCAACAAGAAATGATCGATTAGCATTTATTAATGGTACAACTATTCGAGAACGTTGTGTATGTTTAATCAAATACTTTTTTTTTATATATTATTCTTTTATTTATTTTTCTCAGCAAATACTTGCCGAATATCTAAATAAAGTTCTTAAACATCCAAAATTTCGTAATCATCCAGCAACGGTATGAATTAATTATTGTTTTATTTTTAAAATCTACCATCTTCTAATTATTATAGCGTGAATTTTTTCTTGTAAGTTGTATATCATTCGTCTATGGTATATCAGCTAGTCAAAAAGAAGGTTATTTATTAAAAAGATCTCATGATAGTTATCGAGGTCAACATACTTTCTTTCGTTTACCATTTTTTTGTGATTCATGTAAATTTCATCATGGACGAAAGTAAATTATTCTTCTTCTTCTTTTTTTTTCTAAAATTCTTTTATTGATTCATATAGATGGTTTGTTATTAAAGATAGTTATATAACTTATATTCGACCTGATACAAATGAAATACGTTTTCCCATGTTAGTTGATCGTGGTTTTGATGTTTCATCTGGTCTTCGTAATGCTGGTACTTCACGTGGTATTAAAATAAAAAATCTTCAACGTACATTAGTTGTTAAATGTAATACAAAACGTGCTTGTGATGAATGGTTAATTCATTTAACAAATTTAAAAGAACAAGCAAAAGATTTTCTTAGTGCAACAGCTAGTCGTTTCAATTCATTTGCACCTGTACGAGAAAAACAATTGGCGTATTGGTAATATAATATGATTAATTATTAAAAAACAAAACAAAATTTTTTTTTTCATATAGGTTTATTAATGGAAAATCATATATGGAAGCAGTAGCAAAAGCTCTTTTAACAGCTAAAGAAGAAGTTTTTATAACTGATTGGTGGCTTTCACCAGAAATTATGTTAATAAGACCATCAGATGATGAAACATATCGACTTGATCTATTATTAGGAAGAATAGCTGTATGATATATTTTTTATTTTCTATATTATTTAGAATTATTAATATATTTTTGAATTTAAGGATGCAGGAATACGTGTATATGTAATGGTTTTTAAAGAAATACAACTTGCTATAGGTTTAAATAGTTTATATACGAAACGAGCATTAACTGCAAAAAGTAAAAATGGATTTATTAAAGTTAGTTAAAAATATTTTAATTAATAATATTTTATATAATCTATTTTAATCTATCAGGTTCTACGTCATCCGAATCATTATCCTAAAGGCGGAGTTTTATTATGGTCACATCATGAAAAAATGGTTGTTATTGATCAAAAAATTGCTTTCGTTGGTGGAATTGATCTATGTTATGGTCGTTGGGATGATGAATTCATGCGGTAAGTTATTATTTTCCATAGAATTGATACTATTTTGTCGACATAACATGCAATTGTTTTTAATAAAAAAGAAAGAAAGAAAACATTTACCTATGAAAGTCTCATGTGTCATTTGATATTACTTATTTCTTTATAATGAATTCAACAGTTTTCTCTAAGAAATCCTAAAACAATGTCAAGAGAGACAAATCATTGATTGTTTTCGTTTGAGTATTGACATTCGAATTGATTTGATAAATTTAATTAATCTACCATGAAATATGTCAGTATTAATCATTATACGATTGATTCAGACGTTTAATCTTCATAAAGATATTGATCTCTTCTTTATTAGATTTTTAATTATAATTAAATTTCTAGTCTTGTTGATTTGGGTGAAGAAAATGATCGAGAATTGAAAATGCCATCAGAAATAGCTGCAGAAAAAGAAGCAGCCGGTGGTGCAGAAGTCGTTGAATCAGCAGAAAAGGCTACAACACAAATGGCTGAACAAGCAGGTGAAAAACCTTCTAAGGTAAATAAACTAGAAAAAGAGAGGATAAGATAGTGAAAAAATATATATCTAAATATCATATAAAAGAGAATTCCAATGTTAACACAATGGAGTGTTCAATCACAAGGAAGTACTGTAAGTTTGAATGAATAAAGAAAACTAAAAGAAAGGCTAATTCGAATGTTGAATTTGTCAATTCAAAAAATATAACATTATCAAAAATCGCATGTTTTTAATCTATAAATATTCATATTTTATTTAGCTATATAATATATATATATCTATAATTATTCTAGGGTAGCGATCAAATGCGAACAGGATATAGTGCTCCAAATAAAGCTAGTGAAGATATTAAATCTGGTGGAGCAACACACGCTGGTGGAGCAGGACATCATATGAAAACAGTAGCAAAAAAATGTAAATACTTAAATAAAATTCAAAAGTTTTATTATTTCCCTCTCTCGTTTTTAAGGGATTGAATCAAAACTAACAGGTAATACTAATTTAAATATTTCACTTATGATGATAATCTATGTTGATTTATGAAACTTATCAATAAATAATAATCTTTCATCATTATTATTTTATCGATTTCTTCTCAATTGACTAGGAGCAGATGGAGATGAAAGTGGTAATGAAACAGACAAAGAGAATAGTAAATATTGTATGCTTATTCAACATAATATTACTAATCTCATGAATACAACTATATCAATAACTAATATTTATCAATAATCTAAGAAAAATATTCTTCGAAGGTGTTTATATATTCATATTATTATAATGCTAACTTAATTTGCATACAATTCTTTACTTGCTTATAATTATTTTCTTCTCATTGATTTCATTCATATATAATGCTGCTTTCACTAATTATTATTAGTAAATTTTGCACGATTGAAATAATTTTTCTTTGCTGATAATTTAATGATTAAATTTTGTTTTTAAAACTTTTATTTAACTTGAATTTCAATATTTAAGACGATACATCTACATCTAATCGAAGAACATTAGAACATGAAACAGAAGCTGTTCGAAGACCAGAACGATATGCTCGTAAATGGCGAAAACTTGCACATGTAAATAATATAATTAGTAGAGAAGAAAAAATCTGTTTAAATATTAATTTAATTTAGAAAATGAGAAATAGCAGTGAAATAGATTCAGATGATGAAGAAATACCTGAAGAGCAACCAGCATTCGTCGGTCCATCACCGGTGGTTGATACAAAAACGCGATATTTTGTTGGGAAAGATTATTCAAATCCATATGAAAAAGATTTTAATGCACTTGATAAATATAGTGAAGGTAAATGAAGATTTTGTTTGTTTTTAAGTTTCTTTTCATTTTTATAAATTCTAAAATATAGATTATATTGACCGAAAAACAGTACCACGTATGCCATGGCATGATGAAGCACTTGTTGTTTTTGGTCGAGTAGCACGAGATGTTGCAAGACATTTTATTCAACGATGGAATATTCATAAAGTTAGAATTTAAAAACCAAAAAAAGTTCTTTTATATAATTCAATATTTTCTTTTAAAGTGTGAAAAATATCCTAACAATGATTCTTATCCATTTCTATTACCAAAATCTTATGATGATGCAGAAGATTTATCTGTTAAAAATTGGAGAGAATTTCTTGATGGTAAACCATTTAAAGTCGATGCTCAAGTAAATTATCAATTAGAAATAAAATTCTTTGAATAAAAAACATGATCATTTTTTATTTACTATATAGTGTGTTCGCTCTAGTGGATTATGGTCAGTAGGAACAAAAATAATTGAATCATCTATACAAAATGCTTATATACAAATGATTGATGCTGCTAAACACTATATATATATTGAAGTAGATTAAGAAAAATCTTATATATATTTAATGATGATATTTTATATTTAGAATCAATTTTTTATAACTATTGCTCAAGATCCGACAGTTCGTAATAATTTATCTGATACTCTTTTTCGACGTATTGAACGAGCACATACGTAAGAATTAAATTATTATTAAATATTTTTTTTGAAAATTCTAAATTAATTAGATTGAATGAAAAATTTCGCGTTTATATTGTTCTTCCACTTTTACCTGGTTTTGATAATATTAATGCTGTACAAGCTGTACTTTATTTTATTATGCGTTCAATTACAAAAGGTGATGGATCATTATTTAGACGACTTGAAAAAGCAGGTAAATACTTGTATCGAATAAGAGTTAGTTTTTTTCTATCAAGAGAAGATATAGTTTACTGAATTTCCCAAGAGTTAACTGTTGATAATGTTACGATGAAATATTGATTCGATCAAGTATCAATAAACTGTACTCAGTATATTGAACAAAAATGATCGCTTTTATACGAAATAAACTTATTTTTATTAATTAATTATTGTTGATTTAACTTGAATTTTTTCAGGTGTTGATCCACATAATTATATTAGTATTTTTGGTATGCGTTCTCATGACATTCTAATGGGTCATTTAGTAAGTAAAGAAACTTTATTAATCATGTTTCTATTGATATTTCGTTTTAGGTAACTGAAATAATTTATATTCATTCAAAATTAATGATTATTGATGATCGTATGGCTATATGTGGTAGTGCAAATATCAATGATCGTTCATTACTTGGTAATCGTGATAGTGAATTTTGTATTGTATTAAATGATCGTGAACAAGAACCGGGTCGATTAAATGGAGAATCAGTATCTGTAGGAAAATTTTGTTCTAGTTGGCGAAGAAGATTATTTGCGTATGTATTATGATTGTTTTTTTTCTATGAAAAATGAAATTGTCTTTTGTTTTTAGAATGTTATTAGGCATACAATTTGAGAATCCACTGAATATTGATATAACTGATCCAGTATCCGATGAATTTTATTTTTATATTCGTGATGTAGCAAGAAAGAATGCACTTATTTATGAAGAAGTTTTTGCTACATTACCAAGTGATCGTGTAAGAAAATTTGAAGAAGTTAATAGATATACAGATGCACCAAAAATGAAAGATACTGATCCAATACAAGTAAAAATAGATTTTCTTTCTTTTCTAATAATTGTTTGTTTTTATATAAAGGCACAAGAAAAATTGAAAGGTATTCAAGGTCTTATTGTTGAATATCCACTTTATTTTCTTGATGATGAAAATTATTTACCAAGTCTACGAACTCGTGAAGGTAAGATAATATTATATTTTTTTAATAATTATTTAATTATATTTCTTTTAGGTATTGCTCCAATTATAACTTGGACATGATGAGCTTGATTTATAGTTATTTGTAAATGTAATTGTTAAAATTAAAAATGAATCAAACTGAATAGCATAATTGTGATGAGATAATATTATCTTCAATAAAAAATAATTAATTATCGTTTTCACTGATGTACTAGTATTAAATAATACATTTATTTTTTATGATTGTATTACATTTGTTTTTTTTCTTCTGATTGTATGTACTGTCATTTTAATTATGTATTTAATAGATATTTTTATTTAAATATGTTATTGTTTATGGGTGCTTTTTCTCTATTATGCACGTCCAAATATGTAATACAGTGCACTTTTTTCTCTATTTTGATTATAAAAAAAAGTAATTAAAATAATATATATACACAGGATATTTATAGAATTTTTTATAATTTATTTTATTTGTGAATATAATTAGTTGTTTACAATGTGATTTTATCGAATTGATTGTATAAGGGTGTGGGTGAGGTGGGTGTGAAGCATGATACTTCTACACCCACCCTAACTAATGAAATCTATTGTAAGCTTAAACTATATTCGAAATATTTTTAGTCGAGTTTTCCAGCAAACGTACACATTGTGTAAAACTCATGCGACTCTTTCACTTCATTACAACACCAGCGTACAATCCAACTATCACCAGAAGATATTCTACATAAACTCACAGGTTCTCAGTTCTCAGCCATGTTCATTAACTTCAAAGCAAACGTCAGCTAAAGATCGATTCTTTCACACTCCTATTCATAGCGACTAATATTAAGGTGACCTTTTTGACGGCTGGCTAATAGCTCTATATTTCTCATTCATTCATACATGCGCAGATACTCCTATATCAACGCAGCATCGCCCTTCAAATCTAAAGATTTCATTTTAAAATATCATATCTTCAACCGCTCTTTTCTTTTCGGTTTCTTTCTTTCTAGAGACACCTTCTGATCGCTGTTAATTAATTCAGTTACTAAATAGGTTATCGATCCACTATTCATAAAATTCATGTCATTCTAAACAACGAGATACAATCATATATAATTCCATAGTATACTATAGCCGCCAATCAACTATCGCAAACATCACAATAAAAAAATGCATCACCTAAAAAGCGGTACATGTCAATAAAATACCGATTCAGTTTATATGGTTACAATGCAAATCACACATAAAACAAAACTGTTCTGTTTATATTTTGTCACCATGACACCCAAAAAGAAACTTATACAGATATTCATCAATAATTCTATATTAGTGGTCAGTGTATCACCAATATCAACACTTCCTATTTCTCCAATCCCGTGTTCCGTTCAATCAATTCATTGATTTCATTCTCGATTTCCTTGTCGATCCTATTGTAGCTGATATTTAAATTAGTAAGCGTCTGTATACAAAAAAAGTATAGATGGATATATAAAATAGATCCCGAAGAGAATGATAGTTACCCTATTATTTCGTAATGCATCTGCCAGATGTTGTGCTCCAATATTTCCGATCCAAGTGTGGTGGAGATTTAATGTCGTAAGTGTCTGTATAAAAAAGTGCAGATGAATATATGAAATACATGACAAAGAGAATGATAGTTACCGTATTAGTTCGTAATGCATCCGCGAGCTGCTGTGCACCAACAGGTCCGATTTGATTGTAGTTGAGATCTAATGTGGTAAGTGTCTGTATAAAAAAGTGCAGATGAATATATGAAATAGATGAGGAAGAGACTGATAGTTACTTTATTATTTCGTAATGCATCTGCAAGATGTTGTGCTCCAGAATCTCTGATATGATTCTCATTAAGACCTAATGTCCTAAGCACCTATATTAAAAAGCGTACATGAATATATGAGACGAATGAGAAAGATAATAACCATTACCGTATTAGTTCGTAATGCATCTGCCAGATGTTGTACTCCAACATCTTTGATTTGACTGCTGGAGAGATTCATTTCAGTAAGTGTCTTTGTGAGAAATTGTAGATGATTATATGAAATAGATGACTAAGAGAATGATAGTTACTGTATTATTTTGTAATGCATCTGCTAGATGTTGTGCTCCAACAGCTCCGATGTGATTGGCAGAGAGATTTAATTTGGTAAGTGTCTGTATTAAAAAGTGTAGATGATTATATGAAATAGATCACGAAGGGAATGATAGTTACCATATTATTTCGTAATGCATCTGCTATATGTTGTACTCCAACAGGTCCGATTTCATTGGCAGAGAGATCCAACTTGGTAAGTGTCTGTATAAAAAAGTATGGATGGATATATGAGATATATCATGAAGAAAATGATAGTTACCTTATTAGTTCGTAATGCATGTGCTAGATGCTGTGCACCAACATGTTTGATTTTATTCTCTTTGAGATTTAATGTAGTAAGCGTCTGCATGAAACAGTACAGTTGAATATAAGAGATAGATCACGAAGAGAGTGATAGTTACCGTATTATTTTGTAATGCATCCGCCAGATGTTGTGCTCCAATATCTCCGATTCCATTGTAGCCGATACTTAATGTAGTAAGTGTCTGTATAAAAAAAGTATAGATGAATATATGAGATAGATT